CAGTATTCTCCTCCAACACCACAACTCAAAGGCATCAATTCTTCTACGATCTTCCTTATTCACTGTCCAGCTTTCGCATCCATATGAGGTTATTGAAAACACCATGGCCTGGGTCAGGCGCACCTTAAGGACCACTGTGAGGGGGAGCTAACTCAATAGTAGTGGGTTTGGTTTGGTTTGGTTACACACGTATATGTACACGTATAAAGAAACATAGATTGATAATGATATTTTATATTGTGGTTGACTCAATAGCTACCTTGTATATGGTTTCCAAGTAATGGCTAGTGAGTTTGAGCCACCGACCTTGTGGTTCAAACTGACCTTGTGGTTCAATGCTTATCCTAAGGCATCATACCAGGACTCCTTATTTTATATAGTAGTGTGAATCTGTAGGATAAACACTAGACCCCAAGGTTGCTTTGAACTGCAAGGTCAGTAGTTCAAACTCATCAGCCTCTCCTTGAAACCCTATGGCACTTAACAACAACATTGCACAATAAACATATTTCTGGCTATGATTTTCCACTGAAAAGAACATTTAGAGAATTTTTCAATGTCAGTATATGTGGATCTCCCATATCCGGTTTCGCATTGAACTGTCCTTTCTTATGCTAAAAGGTGTTGGATTAAAAACAGCATTCTTGAGCTGCACTTACAAAGGTACTGTTGGGTGAAAATGTATTCGAGAGTGATTGGCGAGTTGATTTTTTTTAGGTTTGTCCTCAAAAAAATGGTGATAAAGTAAGCCAGGAAACTTTCCTTTTCATCATCCCAGGAAATTCTGCAAAGGGCATAAGAAGAAAGCAAAAAAAAAGAAATAAAGTTTTAATAGTTTAAGTATGTGAGTAAATCTAGCCCTCAAAAGGCAAAATTTGGACTTAATGTCAACATGAAAACTTGAGTAGGAAGTGACTTCAGAAATAGAAAAAGGGTAAGAGTGATAATATTCTTTTCTGAAATAGGTTGGAAAAGAGGTATGACTTATAGACAATACTCAGCACTTAGCTGTATTGCATTTTCTTGAGCTTTGTACCTTTCTTTCCTTCATTACTCCTGGAAAGACCTGTCAGCTTAATTTCTTCAGTAAATTCTATGAGCAGTTAATGAACACTCACTTTGTGCCAGCCATTTGTTCTTGGAACTTCCTGTAGCTCATTGGCTCTTCTCTCAGCAGCCTGTGTTTCCTCCTTTTACAGAGGAGGAGATGGATGACAGGTGAGGAGAACTATGAGTTAGAATCGTAACTTAATCAAGGTCACAGAGCTGATACTGAAAGTTGTAGAGATTCGACTATTGTTGTTCAGTGCCATGGAATTGATTCCGACTCAGTATAATGACTGTATTGAATTTTCAAGGATTGGAAGTTTGGTGAGTTTGAATCACTTACCTTGTGGTGCTATCCGACCTTGTGGTCTAGTGCTTTTATCCCACAATGCCACACCATGTTGTTAGGTACCTTCAAGTCAGTTCTGACTCATACGGACCCAAAGTACAACAGAACAAAATGGACCTTTTCCATTTGCTGCAAGAGACACTAAGGAAGACAAGACAGGAACATCCACCAGCTAATAATAGCTAGATGATTGCTCTGTTTTAGTTTGAATTGCATTTTATTGACAATTAACATGTTATAAAAGTCTCTCTCCTATTTAAAATGTAGTTTGGTATTCTTTGCATATTCATAGAGTTGTATAATCTTCTAGACAAATTGTAGAACATTTTCATCACCTCAAAAGAAACCTCATACTCATTAGCAATCCTTCCCCATATCCCCTTGAAACAAACCCTTGTTCTTAAGTGCATTAAGTCCATTTAGATTCATAGTGACTGGTGGGTTTGAACCATTGACCTTGTGGTTAACAGTCCAGTGCTTATTCTAAAGCCCCACCCTACCAGCCCTGTTGCTGTTTTTGTTACGTGCCATTGAGTCCATTCCAAATCATAGTGACCCTATATAGGGTTTCGAGGGGAGGCTGGTGAGTTTAAACCACTGACCTTGCAGTTCGAGCAGACCTTGAGGTGAAGTACTTATCCTATGGTGCCACACCAGGATTCTGAAGCAGCCCTCCATACCTACTAATCTGCCTTCTGTTCCTCTAGATTTGCTTTCTGAATATTTCATTTGAATGGAAACAAATGTGATCACTTGTCTCTGGCTTCTCTCATTTAGTCTCATGTTTTCAGGGCTCATCCATGAATTAGTGCTTCATTTCTTTTTAATGACTGATGATATTCCATTAGATGGGTTTCCCTCAGTTCTTGACTCTACAGTTTACCTAAATTTCCTTTTTTGTTCCTGGGATCCACAGGGCAGGAAACTCTTGTATTCAAAAGGAAACATCTATACATTTGAAAAGTAATTCAAGTATTTATTTTGAATGCCAGAAATAATAATAAGCTATTATATTTTTTGGAGCCCTGGTGTGGCGCTCTAGGATAAGCACTGGATTCGTAGGGTTGTTGTGAGTTGGAACCGACTCGATGGCACTTAGCAACAACATTATTCTTAGGTATTATAAATGTATGAAATGATGTATTTAGCACAATTCACAGTAAACAGAGGAGATGTCTCTAGTCTTCTGCTGAAGAAGAGGAGGGACAGTGGTTCTTGAACATAGAATGAAACTGAATTGAATTTAACCAATCCTCTTTATTTTCGGACCTACTGGTGCCCTAATTTTTGAGCCCTTTGAGGATTTTGTATAATAATCCTCAAAGGGATTGGTTCCTGATTTTCATCACTGTTTGCTGTTGGGTACTAATTTAGAGGTTAGTGACCTGCTTCTGTAAAGGTTGTTGCTGTTAGGTTCTGTCAAGTCGATTTTAACTATTATGAACCCCATATAACAGAATAGAACTGTCTAATTGAGTTTTCTTCACTATAATCTTTCAGGAAGTAAAATACCAGGTCTTTCTCCTGTAGAGCTGCTGAGTGCGTTTGAACCCCTAACCTATCAATTAGCAGCTGATTGCTTATCAGCTAGAATACTGTGTGGAGCAGTTCTACTGTGTAATACATGGGGACACATTGAGTTGAAATCAGTTCAACTGCAGAGGGATTTTGGGCCTTAGGATTTAGTTTTCAGATCTCTGAATTTCCTTATGGTAGATTCATTTCCCTTTAGTTTCAAATATTCCATTGGTAGTTGCCATTGGTCCTTTGATCCTTTTTTCTTTGTCCTTATAGGTTTATGCAAAAAAAAAAAAAAAATGTATTACTGGTCTCAATATGTTTCAGCATGTAATCTTTAGCCTGAGTCCAATTAAAAAAATTTTTTTTCTTATTGTATCATAGGTTTATTATTTTTTTGTGAATTTTAGCCTTAAATTTTTTTTTTGTTCTACTTATGAATTGACAGATTGAGACCAAAGTACTATTGTTATGTTTTCTTCTACTTTTCTTACTAAGAGCCAAAAAAATGTCTGAGGACCAGAATTGTTTTAAAGTCTTTGGAGAAATTGAAAGAATTCTGCTGTGATTCTGCACTTCCTCAAAATACAGTCCCGACAGAGACCCATCAGGAGAGATTTGCAGTTTTGCCAAAATGTACTGATTATGATGATATCAGTCTTCTCCGTGCAAAGAATGCAGTTTCTTCTGAAGATTCCAAAACACAAATTCATCGAACGGTAGGTAGCTGTTACGTAAATGTTTGTCTTAACTGGTTGTTGTTGGCACTGTTGGCGTTGAGCGCAAGTCCAGTTGGTTCTGACTCATACGAACCCTGTATAAAGGGTTTTGAGAAGCATTTTGTGGGTTTGAACTGTTGACCTTGTGGTTAGTAGTCCAGTGTCAACTTAGTTCTAGCTCATAGAGAACCCTGCACCATCATCACAACTGTTACATTTGAGCCATTTGTAACCATTGTGCCAGTCCATCTCATTGAAGATCTTCCTCTTTTTTGACGATACTCCACTTTACCAAGGATAATGTCCTTTTCCAGGGAATGGTCCCAGCTGATCACATGTTCAAAGTACAAGTCTTGCTGTTGTTACTTCCAAGAAACTGTCTGTATACTTCTTCTAAGACAGATTTGTTCTAGTTTTTTGACAGTCACTGGTATATTCAGTATCCTTTGCCAACACCATAATTCAAATACCTCCATTCTTCTCTGGTCTTCCTTATGCTTGCATATGAGGCGAATGAAAATACGTGGTTTGGGTCAAGTGCTCCTAGTGACTTTTCCTCTTTAATACTTATAGAAGCCTTTTATAGCAGATTTGCCCAACACAACAAACATGTTGTTTGATTTTTTGACTGCTGCTTCTATGAGGATTGATTATATATCCAAGTAAATGAAATCTGTGAAAGCTTCAATATTTTTACCATTTATCATGGTGTTATTTATTGTTCTGATTATGAGGATTTTTGTTTTCCTTATATTGATGTGTAATACATTCTGAAGGTTGTAGTCTTTGATCTTTAGCAGTAAGTACTGTAAATCCTCTTTGCTTCCTGCAAAAAAGGTTTTTCATTTGTAGAACACAGGTTGTTAATGAGACTTCCTCCAATCCTGATACCATATTCTTCATATAATCTAGCTTCTCAAAGTATTTGGGCAGCATACAGATTGAATAAGTATGGTGAAAGGATAGAACCCTGCTACACACCTTTCCTCATTTTGAACCATTCAGCATCCCTTTATTCTGTTCAAATGTTTGCCTCTTAGTTCTTCTTCATAAGCACAATTAAGTTTTCTGGAATACCCATTTTTTACAGTATTATCCATTGTTTGTTATGTCCAGACACTCAAAAGCCTTTACATAGTCAATAAAGCAAAACCAAACATCTTTCTGGTATTCTCTGCTTTCAGACATGATCCAATCAGTTGGCCAGCTAGTTGTCTTCTAAATTTCTTGACATTGATTATTGAGTGCCTTGAGTACTGCATCAGTTTATTGGAACTGATGAATTTGAATTTTTCCTTTATTCTCACAGTTTGAGAAATGATAAGCAACTTTTTTCCTTTTGTTTTTCTAATTCCAGGTCTTTGCATATTTCATTATAATACTTAATTTTTTCGATTAGTATCCTGTTAATTCTGGGTGTCTGGTTTATCATCAGTGCTGTCTGTGCAGTGTGGATTTCATCAATATTATTGGTTTTGATCATATTCTGCCTCTTTAAGTGATTTGATGTCTACCACATATTTTTGGCATAGTGATTATGTATTTTTTACGTTTTCTGTTGATGTTTCCCATATCATTCAATATTTTGCTCATCTTGTTGTTGTTGTGTGCCGTGGAGTTGGTTCTGATTCATAGTGACCCTTTATATTCCAAGGTGTGGCTGGTGGGCTCCAACTGCTAATCTTGTGGTTAGCAATCTGGCACTTATCATACAGCATCACACCAGGACTCTCTGATTTTGCCCACAGAATCCTTCAATATGGCAAATTGAAGCTTGAATTTTTCCTTTATTCTTGCAGTTTGAGAAATGATAAGCAACTTTTTTCCTTTTTTTTTCTTATTGCAGGTCTTTGCATATTTCGTTGTAATACTTACTTTGTCTTCTTGAGATGTGCTTTGAAATGTACTGTCAGCTCTCTTACTTTATCATTTCTTCTATTTGCTTTAGCTACTGTATGTTCAGGAACAAGTTTCAGAGTGTCGTATAACATTTACTTTGGTCTTTCTTTCTCATCTTTTTAATGCCTTTTACTTTCTTCATGTGTGATGTTCTCAGTGCCATCACACAACTTCTGTCATCTTCTGTCATTAATGTTCAGTGCGTCAAATCTGTTCTTTTCTTTTTTAAGCTTTTACTATGAATTATGTGATAGTTTACATGGGAGAACATTAGCTTTATATTCATCCTATCGTATATCGTTTCATTGCAATCATTACAATCCCCTTTAAGCATCATCAAACAACCAAAGGGTACAAGCCTCAAGCCTGACTCCTGGCTGTCAGCACCCAACCCCTCTCCTTCCCTTAGTCCAGAGTCCCCAACTGCTCCATCTGTCCACATCATCATCTCTGCCTCCAGCTCTGGCGTCACTGCTTCTCTGGGTAGGGTCCTGCACTCTGCTCTTCTCACTTGATGGTTCCAGGGACTTCCGCTCCTGGACTGCAAAATCAACCACTCCCCTCCTTTTTTAACAAAACTTCTGGCTTTACATTTCTGACCCTCACAGTCAGTCCTGATAGCAGTTATTCACTATTGAACCATAAGAGTCTTATCTCTATCTCCTTTCATCAGTCCCATCCAGACAGGTTGGAAATCACTCAGTGGAGATTCTACCCCATACACTCTGGGACTAGGCTCCCTCTTGAAAGCTTGTAAGCCAATCCCTTCGTGCTTTTGTAGCCCCCCTGTTGCCCATCCCTGTCAACCCTATGTACTGAGGGGGTGGGAATGATCGTTGCTGTAAAGATTTGTTCCCTCTTTTGAGCTACTATGTCCATAAGTATAGGTCAAGTTCATCAAATTGTAGCGGATTACTCTTTTTTTCCTCCTTTTTCTTCTTCTAGTCAAGTTCTGATCATCCAGCTATTGAAGCCAAGTCAAGTGGGTACTATCTGCAAGTATGAGTGAGCTGGATGCTTCACTCTCCTCTCTAGTCCTCTGTGGCCATGTTCCTAGGAGTATCCAGGTCTTGCCATACTGCTGGCCAACCAGGTCTCAACCCAGGTTGACAGTAGTCTATTGAACGTGGTTTTACTTAGCTCACAACTTCATTGCTGTTTTTCTCCCACTTCCCCTTATTGGTGACCAATGTGATCACCAGCAAGACCACATGCCTGCTCATTTATTCCCTTTGAGTCTTAGTCATGGAAAGGGGTTTGCCCTGAGGGGACCTGACCACTTGCCTATATGGCTCCCGCCCAGACAACTTGCTTGTTCTTGTAGTAGTCAGATTGTCGTTACTGTTTTTGATTTTTCCTGCTGGTCTTTCTTTCAAGAAGTGTCTTCTATTCTTTTAACCACTCCAGGCTGGTCTGCTTGCCTTTCAAGTGGAAATTTCCCACCTCAGAAGATTCTGGATAGATATCAGGATTCCACTTATGGTCTTATGCTGTGTAAAGGCTCCAGAGGAAGTCTCCTTCACTGGGAAAATTCTAGCCCCATTTTAGG